GCGCAGGAGTGGACCTCCTGCCAACACAGTGCTACTGGGCAACCCAGTTCCCCGAGCAGACGGGGGACCCTGATTCTCCAAGTGAGAGACAGCACTGAGAACCAGTGACTTGACTCTCTTTCTCATTGCATGCGCCTGGGATCCTGGATTCCCAGTGCATTCACACTAAGAGCCAGTGACTCCAATTCTTGGCACATGCACACACAGGGACCCTGATTCTCATGAGGCCGCACCAAGCAACAGAGACTCTGATACTCGATTCTTGGTGTGGGCACAGGGGAACTCTGACTCCTGGCACACACTAGGGGACTCTGATCTTTGGCACACACCAGTGAGGTCTCTGTTTCAGCACGGCGCAGGCAGGGTCCCTGATTCTAGGTGCGCACACCAGGCCACCAACCAACAGTGCAAGACACTGGGGGCGAGGGGACGAGGGCAAGTGCCAGGAGGCCGGGTGGAGGTCAGTGGGGAAAAAAGAGACATATGTACTACTATTTGTAATACCTTAAACAATAAAATTAAATTAAAAAATAAAACTAAGGAGGAAAAAATAAAAATAAATAAGTAAAATAAGTGTCAATGTGGTTCTCCAACCACTTAGTCTGCTAGTCTAGATACAGAGGAAAAAATAAAACTATTATAGATCTAGTAAAAGTTAAACAGACAATAAAAACCAACAGTGGCAATGAAAAAACAAAACAAAAAACTTCCCGCAAATGCTCTTTTTTGGGGCACAAAATTCGACATTTTTAAGTGTGAAAATATCTATGATGTTAACACCCTCAGCAAATTTGACATATGAAGTTTTGAAGCTTTCTGTCAATACAACAAAATAGCATACATATCAGATTGCATATATACCAACATATGTGTCATTCCATCTATTGAAAAAAATCCCCATTATTAACTTTTACACCTAGTAAAGGCAGTAAAATATAATTTTATTTGAATAAAAGAAAAAAATTAGAAGACAAAACAAAAGGGATCAGAAAACTGTGCCCATGCAACATTTAAGAAGAGTTTGGAAATGGGCCATGTGGGTGTTTGGTCGGCCCTGTGTGGCGGCAGCCACAGCGCACGGGCAGGGGACGGCATTGGAGAAGCATTTGCAGGGAAGCGTCATTTCTCTTGGACAAAGAGGTGCTCACTGCCAGGCGGCAGTTACCCAAAGGAGCCTCGCTTGCCTTACAAGTGAGTTGAGCAAAGGGCCCTGATCAAAATGCGGGATATAAAGTACCAGCAAGCTACATGTTTTGTTCTAAAAGTAAAAAACCAACCGAACAACAAAAAAAAACTAACTGTAAACCCCAGGTCACCAGACTTCTGAGGCCTGAGCCTTCCTGTTCCAGGTTGAGGAATGGAATCAACATCAGTGCTCACTGTCCAGCTGGTGTAGGTCAGTGGTTGAGCATCAGCCCATGAACCCCAGTCAGGGCACATGCCCAGGATGTGGGCTGGATCTCCAGAGTGGGCAGGCAGAAGGCAGCCAATCAGTGATTCTCATCCTTGATGTTTCTTTCTCTCTCTCCCTCTCCCGTCTTCTCTGTCTTTCCCTTCCTCTCTCTGAAATCAATAAAAACATTTTTAAAAAATCAGTGTTCAGGCCTCAGCAGACCATGCCAACAGCTCCTTCAACTGCACACAAAATCTCTTTAATCACTCAAGAATAGTCAAGTGTGTACTATGAAGTAACAATACTACAGACCTCACGATTAACTATGAAATGCTAGTTTTCACATAAGCATGATCTGGGCAGTGCAACAAATGCAGACCACGCTGAGACACAATAAACAGCTTTGCTTCTTTGGGTTTTGTACACACACACATACACACACACACACACACACACGTAGAATGGCGTGCCTCTACTACAAAGCTTAGCAAAAACCAAAAGGAATTTCAGCAAAGTATCAGATTCCGCAGGCCAATTTCTGGTTGTTTGTTAACTGGCTTAACTATTTCCAATAGTTGGCCCTTAGAATTATATATGAAGAAATAAGCCCTGAATTTTCACTCATAGGCAGTAAAAATCAAATTTGTTACAAACACCGCAGACCCATGACCATTCTATAGTCACATTTGAACTTTGGTTTGACCAAGTGTTCCAACAAAGGGAGTCATCATCAAAGGCTGCGGATCTTTATTACAAAAATGGAGGTTGTTATCATATTAAGTTACAGGGTTTCAACTCCACACTCCATTAGAATTTAGAATTCAATAATTTAATAAAAAAGAAGAAAATAGCCGAACCGGTTTGGCTCAGTGGATAGAGCGTCGACCTGTGGACTCAAGGGTCCCAGGTTCGATTCTGGTCAAGGGCATGTACCCTGGTTGCGGGCACATCCCCAGTGGGGTTCGTGCAGGAGGCAGCTGATCGATCTCTCTCATCGATGTTTCTAACTCTCTATCCCTCTTCCTTCTTCTTTGTAAAAAATCAATAAAATATATTTTTTAAAAAAAGAAAATACATAGGAAAAGCTAAATGAAGTCAGATTTATTTTTCATTGATTTAATCAACAAAAAATATACTGAGAATAAAGATGAAATGATGTATCCCTTTTTCAAAATTTACGCAATGTCATGAAATTTACTTTATATGACAGGAAAGCTGAATTTGGTCTACCAACTTAAGAAGAAGTAGTGTTATTAAGAAACTTCATTTTATTCTCCTTCAGTTCCAGAGAGTTAACTCCTTATAATACTTATTAATATAGAACACCAGGAAAAATAAGGAAATTTCTTTCTAAGGTCATTTTCCATTTCAACCTTCCTTCTCAAATCTCATAAATTAACTTCTTAAAAGTTACTCTTGGCAGTCTCAAAAATACACATCACATCTCTTGAATCATATTCCTATAGTAAAACTCCAAAGTGAATCAGTTTTACACACAAAAAGTTATGCTGCCATTTAAGTGCTCAGAACTGAATGTTTCTGTAGATCTAGTGTGATAAATAAAGGTGAAATGAAGACAGATTTCTGTTAATCTAATCAAGTTTGCTGTTAGTTGTGCATGAACAGTATAAAAGCTAATATATACCTATATGGTCTTGCAACAGTTTTAAAGCCTCTCTATAATTAATAAAAATGCATGACATTTTTGTTTTTAATAAGCTTTCAAAATTATAATTTTAGGTTTGACACATAGATCTTTGTACAGTTTACTTTTTGACACAGCAAGGCCAAAAATAAGTTTCTGAATATTTTTTTCGTCTGCATAAGTGGAGAGAGCATTTTACATACCATAAGCGGGCTAACCAATGTTCTGAAAAGAACTTTATCATTGTGCAACTAACAACAGTAACTAGCCCTTAATTTTTATGACAGTTCCTTGTTGGTGTGTGTGAGATCACTCTAGTGACTGTTACAGTATAACACAATTGAATCTCCCGCATTGAATAATTCCTTTCCCCTACCCCCATACCCTACCACCCAGAGAGTTTACAATTCTATTAACAGTAAATTTGATAAAGTATTACTGATTTTAAAAAACTTCAGATTATCTAAGGGAAGAAAAGCAGAAAATTATTTAGTGTAGCCATCTTACATGCTTATGTGTCCCTTAAAAAATGTAAATATTCTAGCAGTGGTGTAATGGTAAGTTACATCTTACTGTTGATGTCTGTATGCTCTGATACATGTTGTCATTTTATTGTCAGAGCACTACAGTGACATATACAAATAAAAATTTTAAATAAAAAAAATAAATCCACTTTAGTTTATTTTCCCAGCAGATGTAATACATATTCTATATACACATTTTCATTTAAAATTAAGGTTTTTGGCACAGAATCCCAAGCCTATAGTTTACAAATGGTGTCTCCACTGCTTTCCACCGACCAACTAGGGGGAGTTTGGAAGGAAACGGTGCTCTCAATGCCTGGGTCTTGTATGGATGAGCGCTCCCCTCTGCCTCCCCCACAGCCCATCAGTGTCCTGAGCCTTCAGAGCATGAGAAGAAAGGCTAGAATAGTTACTTCTGCACATCGGTGGGGGAGAGGAGGAGGGCAGAGAACCGCTGCCAAGGGTTTCTAAGCACTGTGTCTTTAAATTTACGCATGTTTTCCATCAGTAATACTGCGGCCACGCGTACTCTTTGCTGTACCTCCAGTGTGAATCCGTGGAGCTACACGAGTGGCTTAATTCATGTCCAAACCCAGACATTTAGAGTCTTGTTCCAGTCACGTTTGAAAGAGGGTTGTTATTTTTTCCAGAAAAACTGTCAATCCAAGAAAATTTGCATATAAGAGACGGAAACTCAAGTCATCTTTAATGCGTATGTCCCACTGCTTGCTCTTCCTGCTGTGCTTTTAAAAGCACTCAGGTGAGTAGAGTCAATTTTTATATGAAGAATTGAGTTACCACTTTATTTTGGGGGGGGGGGGGTCAAAACTTACAAACTAGTGCAAAATAACAGATCTCCCACACTCTCCAAAGTGCTTCCTGCCTGAGTAAAAGTCAAACCTGAAGTCTAACCAACCTGTTAAACGCTGAATACTGTTATATAAACTTTCCATCTTGTCTGCTAAAGCCTCTGGATTCAACGTTCCCGAATGCGCTACAGAAACATTCCCAAGCAGATGGTCACAGATGGGCTTGAAGGGCACGCTCCCGCCTCCTCCTCCGGCCTCTCACACTCTAACCGGCCCACGCGCTTCAGCAGGTGCTGCGCTGGCTCCCACTCGCCAGAGGCCCCACAGTGTCGCTTCATCGAAGCTGCCACACCCACAGACTGGTGTCACCACACAGCCTTTCTCTTTGCACCGTTTACACATGAAGAGGCGATGGAATCCATATGTCACCCCAACACACGCAGAATGAGGAACAAATAAAAACCAGCTGATTTTCAATCTTCCTGGGTGGGGCTCAGAGCCAGGCCCTCAGCTGCTCCTGAGCTCAGGATGGAGCCAGGGCGGCTGGGCTTTGAGTGCCGGCCGCCAGCCACCAGGAGCCTCAGCCACCAGGAGCCCCAGCCACCAGGAACCCCCGGCATTCAAGTTCAATGAAGGCACACATTTTTTTACTCAGCTCTGCAAAGACTACAACTGCTCACAACTCATAAAAGACATTTCACGGGACTTTTTCTCGTTGATTTCTCTTCTTCTTGGGATAGGCAATCGGCTCCTTAATCAAGGGCGTGACTCCACTCTCCAGGAGAGGATGAGGCCTGGAGGGTCAACCTGGGTCCCTGTGTTTGGAGCAGTGACAGTGGTGCTGGCTGCCCAGGCCTTTCCTGCTAGGGCCACTCACTCCCCTAGCGAAGCCCTTATGACCAGCCTGGGAGGCAGCCTTGGTTGATGGACTACTGGGGTCCTCCACTACTGGGGTTCTGGACTATTGGGGTCTTGGACTCCTGTGGGGAGTAGGTGCTGGGATGCTGAGAGTCTTGGTAACAGCATTTCTGCTGGATGTCTGTGGTCACGTGGCCACTGTCCTGCACACCCAGTGTTCCCTCCCACACCTTCCCTCTCATTTCCCACCTCAGTCTCCATACACAGGCCATCTTTAGACTTTCCTCTTCTTGGTTAAATAAATAAACAAGGAAAAAAAGTTGGGATATTGTTGTTACATCTACATTTTAAGAAAATGATATCCTAACATTTTTCTTCTGGGGTTTCACAGAAATTGGCTTGGAATTTACATAAAGATATCCTATCTAATAATAGACAAACATGGTAATTGACCATACCTCCGAAATGCTTCCCATTGGCAAATCAGGGTGATATGCAAATTAACTGCCAACCAAGATGGTGGCTGGCAGCCAGGCACTGAAACGAACAGAAGGCTTGCTTGCTCCAGTGACGGAGGAAGAGCGCGAGAGCTGCCATCCAGGCCCCCGTGTGCAACCCCAGAAGCCACCCAGAAGCTGGTGATCGGGGGGAGAAGGGGGTCCCCTGCCCTGGCCTGACACCTCTGGCGGAGGTATCAGGCCTGGGCAAGGGGCCAATCTGATTATCAGAGGGTGATGGAGGTCAACGCCTCTGGCCGAGGTGTCAGGCCCAGGCAGGGGTGGAGCTGGCAATTGGAGCGGTCTGGGGACCCCCTGCCCTGACCTGACACCTCACCGAGCTGGCGATCAGAGGGAGATGGGGGTCACCCGCCCAGGCCTGACACCTCTGGTGAAGGCAAGGGGCCGATCCGGCGATTGGAGGGTGATGGGGATTGACGCCTCTGGCCGAGGCATCAGGCCTGGGTGGGGGGCAGAGCAGGTGATCAGGGGTAGATGGGGGTCCTGTGCCCAGGCCTGAATCCTGGGCCAGAGGCATCAGGCCTGGGCCGGGAGTCCAAGCCAGCGATTGGTGTGAACTACAGAGGAAACAACTTTTCTGACTGCTCATTGGCTAAGCTCCATGTATGCCACTGGTAATATTCTTAGTAACTTGGGTAATAAGAATCCAAAAAGGTGATCTAGGGTTTTTTTTCACCACAGTCCTGGAGAAAAAAATGAAGGTCTGCTGCTAGAGGGCTAAGAAA